CCAGTTCTAAATTATTCCCACGTGGTGGCTAGCAATTGGCTTGCTAGCCGTATAAGAGGCTTGAGCGGTTTCTGCCCAAGTTGGAGAACTCCAAGGAGAACCCCGCAAGGGAGGACTCCACAACCATCTGGAGGAGGAGGACTTCACGTCTCGTGAAGAACTAAGTGCTGCGGAGCCTAAAGGACCCAGCGTGTACCTTAAGAAGGCTATAGGGGTCTGATCAACCTCTGGCCTCTCCCCGTCGCCGAGCGATCCCTCGACGAACCCCTTCCCTGCGCGCAAGTTCCACAGAGCCTAGCAAACTTCGTGTGAGTGTATCCAGAGCTCTGTCCGGGTTCGAGTCCTGCAGGTTTATCTTCCCGTCGCCGAAAACCCCTTGCGACGTACCCTCGTGTCTTGCATCTTCCCGTCGCCAAAAACCCCTTGCGACGTACTCTCGTGCCCTGCAGGTTCGAGTTTTGTTTTGTTTCCTGTCTGTAACTGCAACGCAAGCAAGTTTTCCTGCCTGCACCGCAACCATCTATGGTGTAAGTAAAATAATCTTTAATCAACCGCTACGTGTCCGTGCCTAATTCTAGTCCGCCGGCCTGCATTCCCTGACCCGCGTGCCAGGGCTGCTGGCCACAGCCCGCTGTGTGCCCCCGAGGGCCTCGGACCGCTCCCAGCCTGCACACACAGTTTACAAGTTAATCTATTTTATAGGTCATACTTAAAGGTTTATAGATCAAAAATGTTGTAAAGCAGCACATAGGCCTCCTAAAGGTTATAAAATCCCACTATATTTGATGTTTAACATGTTTCTGTTTGTGGTATGAATGTGGCACATGTGAAATAGTGAAAAGAAGAAAGCACACCTGCAACAGGCAGCAGACCTGAAGTCAATGGCCGAAGATGCATACAGATAAGGCCAAGGTGAAGAAATCCGCCCACGACATCCGATCAAACCAAGACAATAGCTGACATAAAGGAGCAGCTAACGTAAGAGGTGGCAAAGAATTGCTGGAATAAGTATGGGCGAGATAGAGTCCTTGGGTGATCGCTCTGCAAGAATAGAGTCTCAATATGCACGTCCAACAACGCCTGGCTCCATTCATCTTCACACCTGATTTGGCTGGCGACCAAATCAAGTTGAGCAACTGAACATTGTAGCATCTTGCAGAACAACTTTTGCTGCTATAGTGTGTGTGCGCGCGCGCGCGCGCATGCAAGTTTAACACAGATATATAAGAACATAAGGTATTCTGTACTTCATGAGAACAATTTATTTGTAATGATTTAGTTCCCCTCGAGGGTGGGCTAACAAAAACAGGAGTCATCATTGACTCCAAGATGAACATGGGCCGACAATGCGAGGTCACGGTCGGCAGGGCTAACCAGACTCTATCGTGCATCCACAGGTGCATCTCAAGTAGGGCCAAAGAGGGGATCCTCCCCCTCTTTGCGACACTGGTCAGGCCACAGCTGGAGTACTGTGTCCAGTTCTGGGCACCCCACTTCAAGAAGGATGTGGACAACATTGAGAGGGTCCAGAGGAGGGCCACCCGCATGATCCGGGGACAGCAGAGCAGACCCTACAATGAGAGGCTATGCGACCTGAACCTGTTCAGCCTTCACAAGAGAAGGCTGAGGGGGGACCTTGTGACCATCTATAAACTCACTAGGGGGGACCAGAAGGGTTTGGGGAAGACCTTGTTTCCCCTAGCACCCCCCGGGATAACAAGGAATAACGGCCACAAGTTGTTGGAGAGTAGGTTTAGATTAGACATCCATAAGAACTACTTCACAGTTAGGGCGGCTAGGATCTGGAACCAACTTCCAAGGGAAGTGGTGCTGGCTCCTACCCTGGGGGTCTTTAAGAAGTGGCTTGATGCCTACCTGACTGGGGTCAATTGAGCCCAGTTTTCCTCCTGCCCAGGCAGGGGGTCGGACTTGAAGATCTACAAGGTCCCTTCCGACCCTACTTCTGTGATTCTATGATTCTAGTTTAGTAAGTCTATTGTTATACTTCACTAAAAGCAGCGTTTGGCCTTGTGTCCCCCTTGCCCCCGGCTCTACTCAGAGCAGAGAAAACGTGTGTTCTCTGCTGCATGCACCTGCTCTTGGTCATGTAGCCTGATTGATAATATCCCAGGAAGCCAGACTCCAAGTTCAGAGGAACTTCCATTGTTTTCTCCTGTACTTTAAAGACGCCTTACTGAGAGTGCAAGAACAAACCATCCTGATGTGCAGGAAGACTAGTAAGTATGGCAGAAGACCAGCTTGGCTTAGCAGGGAACTCTTCAGTAAACTAAATCACAAAAAGGAAACTTATAAAAAGTGGAAACTTGGACAAATAAGTAGGGAAGAATAAGAGCATTACTTGGACATGCAGGGATGAAGTCAGAAAGGCCAAAGCGCAACTGGAGTTGCAGCTAGCAAGGGATGTGAAGGATAACAAGAAGGGTTTCTACACGTATGTTGGTAGCAAGAGGAGAATCAGGGAAAGTGTGGGACCCTTACTGAACAGGGGAGGCAACCTTGTAGCAGAGGGTGCAGAAAAGTCTAAAGTGCTCAATGCCTTTTTTATCTCCACCTTCACAGGCAAGGGCAGCTCCCAGACTACTGCATCCGGCAGCACAATTTGGGGAAGAGGTGAGCAGCCCACAGTCCTGAAAGAACACGTTACAGACAACTTAGAAAAGCTGGATGTGTACAAGTCCATGGATGGGATACACCCAAGGGTGCTGAGGGAGTTGGCTGATGTGATTGCAGACCCATTGGCTATCATCAGAAAAAGTCATGGCAATCTAGAGAGGTCCTAGATGATTGGAAAAGTACCCATATTTAAGAAACAAGAAGAAGGATCTAGGGAACTACAAGCCAGTCAGCTTCACCTCAGTCCCTGGAAAAATCATGGAGCAGATCCTCAAGGAATCCATTTCTAAGCACTTGAAGGAGAAAAAGGTGATTAGCAACAGTCAGTATGGATTCACCAGGGGCAAGTCATGCCTGAACAACCTGAAATAACCCAATTGCCTTCCATGATGAGGTGACTGGATCTGTAGATGCGGAGAGACCGGTGGATGTAGTATAACTTGATTTTAGCAAAGCTTTTGATACTGTCTTCCACAACATTCTCACAGGCAAGCTAAGGAAGTATGGGCTGGATGAATGGACTGTAAGGTGGATAGAAAACTGGCTGAAGCATTGGGCTCAGAGAGTAGTAATAAATGGCTCAATGTCTAGCTGGCAGCTGGTGTCAAGTGGAGTGCCCCAGGGGTTGGTCCTGGGGCTGGTTTTGTTCAGTGTCTTCATTAGTAGACCTGGTAGATGGCACAGAATGCATCCTCAGCAAATCTGCAGATGACACCAAGTTGGGGGAAGTAGTAGATATGCTATAGTGTACTGGGGCTGGTTTTGTTCAGTGTCTTCATTAGTAGACCTGGTAGATGGCACAGAATGCATCCTCAGCAAATCTGCAGATGACACCAAGTTGGGGGAAGTAGTAGATATGCTATAGTGTAGAGTTAGGATTCAGAGTGACTTAGACAAATTGGAAGATTGAGCCAAAAGAAATCTCATGAGTTTCAACAAGGACAAGTGCAAAGTCCTGCACTAGGATGTAACAATCCCATGCACCAGTACAGGCTGGGGGCTGACTGGCTGGGCAGCTCTGCAGAAAAGGAACTGGGGGTTACAGTGAACAATAAGCTGAATATGAGCCAGCAGTATGCCCTTGTTGCCAAGACGACAAATGGCATACTGGGCTGCACTGTTGGGCGTGTTACCAATAGGTCAAGGGAAGTGATTATTCCCTTCTATTAAGCACTGGTGAAGCCCGCATCTGGAGTACTGTCTTGCCCCCCACCCCCCTATAAAAAGGATGTGGACAAATTGGAGAGTCCAGAGGAGGGCAACAAAAGTGGTTTGGGGGCTGGGACACACGACTTATGAGGAAAGACTGAGGGAACTGGGTTTATTTAGCCTAAAGAAGAAAAGACTGAGGGGGGACTTAATAGCAGCCTTCAACTACCTGAAGTGGGGTTAGACATTAGGAAGAATTTTCTCAGTAGGAGGGTAGTAAACCACTGGAACAGGCTACCCAGAGAGGTGACTGAAGCTGCATCCTTGGAGGTTTTCAAAACTTTGGCTGGGATGATCTAGTTGTGACTGGTCCTGCTTTGAGCAGGGGTTGGACTAGATGACCTGCAGACCCTTCCAACCCTAACTTTCTATGATTTTATGATCCTGGGTGTAACAACTTGATCAATGACAGCAGTGGGGAGAAACCAGATTTAAGCCAGCAGCTCAAACTTCATGAGAAGAGTATAATAAAAACTAGGAAAGGAAGGGGATATTCCTGAACTCCACCAGCTCCAGGGAAAAGCAAGAAACAGAACTTACCCAGAGAAACAAGGGCTTGGTAATTCCTCAGCATCTGGTCCTGGTAAAGCATTTTGTCTCTGTCTTCCAGGAGCTCCCACTCCTTCTGAGTGAAGTACAGCGCCACGTCCTCAAAGGCCTCCCGGAGCTGCAGGCACAAGCAGTACACACTCAGTCCCTTCTGCTCCAGCCCCGTCCAGCCCCCACAATCCTGCGCCTTCCTCTGCACTCTAAGGATTTGCCAGCCAGGTTACACTGGACATGGATGTGAAACATCCAGCCGCTCAGTTGGTACAGGTTCCCCAGAAAAGCCCCAGGTGTTGACACAGCACAGGGTTTGTTTATACTAGAGGGAACTGATGCTCTAGCTAAAGCAGCAATGATCCTAGGAATTAACTATTTTCCCCTAGACACCTCCCCAGGGAATACCAGGGCCTTGCGGGGCAACGTCAGGAGTCTCCTCCTGCAGTTGTGGTGGACAACACTTTGCTGGCCTCAGTGTGAGCATGTTGACATAAATAGTTGCTATGAATAGTTTCACATGCAGGACATCACACCCAGGCCTGGAAACAAGAAGGACTTTGGTGCCCCTGGAACGTATGTAATCTTACCAGAGCCGGGGCTGCCGCAGCCATCCCTGCTGTATTCCCGGGAGGAGGGGACGTGAAGGGCAGGGGCAGGAAGGGGGGACGTGAATCTGCAGTGGTCTGGGCTTGGCTGGCGCAGGCTGAACTCATCGACCTGGAAACAGGAAACGTAAGAGAGCGAAGCATCGCAGTGCCACGCGCAGGGGCTGCTCGCCAGATCCTGGAATCACAAAGCATCTGGATTCCCTCGGGCACCAGTCACAGCCGCAGCCTGGAGCAGCAGACAGCCCCAGCTCGGGGGCTGGGACCCATGTCACTGTCCTGCGACTTGTCCCAAACGGAGCTCCCAATGGATCTCCCTCCAGGGTCCTCAGGTGCACCGGCGTAGCGCTCCCCGCTCTACCGCCCGGCGGTGCCGGTGCAGCTCTGTCCCTCCACGGCCCCGGCCGGAGGGACCCGCCGGGCGCCCTCGCAGAGATGCCACAGCTCCTCGGCGCCGCGCCCGGCG